AAACATTTTTTCTTGCTTAAAATTACCATAAAAGAAAAATTTTTAACAAAACGGACGCGATCAGGAGAGAGTTTTTTTATTAAGCCAAGTGCCTTTTTAATGTAGTTTTTGAATTTACTATAGAAGTTTTCAACCGTGTTCTTAAAGTTTTACTAGTATTCAGCTAGTAGTTCTTGTTGGAATTGTAAGAGAGCTTCTTTGATTAGAAGTTTTTTTGAGTTTTTAAAAATCTTTTAATAACAAATTGCTGTGACCATTGAATACTTCATATAAAGTATTCAGTTCTTATGTAAGAAGAGGAAACATTTGATGATTTTTGAGTCATATCATGATTCTATTGATCCTTTTAGTTTGTTTTTTGAGTTTTTTTTCTGCATTGGTATAATGGTTTTTTTGTATTGGACTTGTTTGAACTTTCTTGATAAACTTGTTTAGTGTATCTTTACAGATGTTATCAAAGTCTTTCCAGTTTGTTAATGTTTTTATAATATATTATTTGATATAAAATAATTAAATTAAATTATAATTATTTTTAAGAATTTTGAAATTAAGTCAATAACAAAATATTTATATCATATATAATTTAAATATATAAATAGGTTAATATTTAACTTGTTATTTATAAAAAAAAAAACTAAAAACTCTTTCTGCTGATTCTTTTGCCAACCCAAAAAACAGACATTCTCAAAAGACCTTTTGTCTTTATAATAATGAAGTCTATACACTTTCCTTAACAATATTGGTTTTCTAACCAGCAGAGTGAGCAGAAGCTACCACTTGTTTTATTTTTATTTTTCAAAACACTTTTCTTGTCTATTTTGGCGACTAAATACAAGAAACCTACCTAAAAGATCTACAGAAAGAATACCTTTCTAGGAAAAAAACTGACAAGAAAAAACATCATTCAAAGACTCCCAAAATATTTAAGAATCCAGAAAAACAAGAACAAAAAAGTTTTCAATCTTTCCATTATCTTTTTGGTTTCCATTTCTTTTTTCTTAAGCATACTTCTTTTTTTCTAGTTTTTCTGGTGAATTTTGCCTATTTCAGTTTGACTCTAAATTTTTGATTACATCAGATCTTCTGAAAAATAATTAGTCAAGGCCACGAATTGATTAATTACATCAGCCTCAGAAAAAGTAAACAAGACATGTACTTTTCATGTGTTCCCAGTTGTACAACACCAAACTGATAATGTGATTGGTTCCTGAAAGAGTTGGACAGTTTTTAATTAAAGGAATAATATGAAAGTATTAGATAAAGTAGAAGTTGTGAGTAGAAGAGAAGCAACTCCTTTTTGTTTCCATCCTTTTATTTTCTTTTTTTTTCCTTATTCTTTCTTGAGAACAAGAAGTAACAACAAGATCTAGGTCCTATCCCAATCTGGTAACAAGTTGAAATACCAATATTTATCCTGATAATGATTGGAGAAAGAGATTTTGAAACTATCCACCAGTTGAATGAAGCAATAATTCCAGAAAACATGGCTTGGGAGAGCAATCAACAATAAAAAACTAATATCTTTTCTGGTTAAAAGTCTTCAAGTGTAAAGTTTCAAGAAATACTCTCCTAGAAGTGCCCTTAAATATTTTTGGACATCAATTACTCCAATAAAAATTAAACAGTTTGACTAATTACAGGTGGTGAGAAGTGGAAAATCATAAGGAGCTTGGGTTTTAAGTTTACTGAGATAACCTTTTCAATGATAGTTAGAATAGATGATAGCTTTTTTTCTTTTCTTTTTGTCAAAAAATTCCTTTTTTTATTCCTTTTTCTCCTTGCGTAGTTTCTACAAAAGGAGATGACACAATTTGGATTTATGGTCGTGACTGTGAAGGTGATCTGCAGATTTGGATCTTATCAAAGGTTTGGAATCTTAATTCTGTTCTTTAGGGGAACAATATATCACCCCATAAATCACATCTAGAGGCTTTGGCTAAAGATGGGTAAGTTGGATTGTGAAAATTTGTACTTTGCATATATTCTCATGTGTGTAATGGTTCTTTGTGATTTAATAAATAAACGACACCAACCTGATTGCAGGATTAAAAAATTATTTATTATATTTATAATTTATATATAAAGATATTGTTTCTTTCAAGATATAGTATATATTATATCATATAAATAAATAAATAAATAATGCTTATTTACTAAAATTTTTTTATTATTTTAGAACTCTGATTGCTTTTGTTTTGTGTTTTGTTCTTAGATGCAATGTTAAATCTTTAGCTTAACAATATAAAAAAATAAAAATAAATAAATAAGAAAATTTTTATTACTATAAGAAATTTCAAATATTATTTTAACTTAACAATATAGAAAAATAAAATAAAAATAAAAATAATGTTTTTTTCTTTTACAAACATTACTAATGTAGTTGTACAATAAATCTTAATACTTGTTCCAAAAAAAAATTATATTTTAATTTTAATTTAATCCAAAAACAAGAATTAATAAATATTTTAATTTTAAAGAATTCAATTGTATAAAATTTCGTTAAACTACCTGTATGTGTATCGCAGAGAAGACATTGATAATTTATTCGTACAAAAATACGGATACTGTTTATTATGATATCAATAACAAATGATTTAGGAAACAGAACGAATTAACTTTGATAAGATTCATTATTTTTAATGCTATTTAAAATGAACACTAAAGATTTTCCCAGAAATCTTAATGACAACTGAATGAAAAATCTGATGTAATTTCTTTTTCGTGAATGAAAATTGCTAAACTAATTTGACTAATTGATGCATTATATTTTTTTTCTAAAGCTATATCTGAAAAATGATAAGGAATTATTTTTGTAGAATGAAATCTTTTTATAATATACTATATTACTAATTTTGTGGATAATTACAAGTAAACTATCTACTTCGAAAATTCGAAATCCATTATATTCTATCTATTTTTGCTCCTATATGTCTTAGCAAACTTCTATATTCATTTATCAATTCGCGATCGAGTTTATTCTGCAAGTCCCGTTCAGCAATATAGCCTTCGACGTCGAATTCCAACCGCCGTAACTCTCTATCAACTCTATTCAAAGCACGTAACCTTTTCACCAAATCTTCGCCGCTAAGTTGCAATTGATCAAACCAATTTTTATATTTATTAATCAACTCCTCTCGTTTTGGATTAATCGCTCCCTGCTTCGAGGTTGGAGTGATTCTCGTCGTTTGTTCATCGTCTGATATAATTACTAATGGTTCTAATATACTATTCTTCGATGGTCCATTAGCGCCAGTATTTTTTGCATACAGTGGATGATTGCTTCTCTGTTGGCTGAAGGTATTATTACTCTTCCACTGGGGACTAGCCCCATTCTGGGAATTTATGTATCTTGCGGAATTCTGCTCTGGGATCAAACCTCGTGATTTATCAACATTTCGTTCTTGTGGGTAGTAACTCTTGAACAATGGTGTGCTGCGTGAAGCTTGTGAAACATCAATTCCAACAGGACGAGGTAAGATGTTCGTTAAATTAGCAGGCTTTCCGGTATTTTCACCAGAATCTGGAATCTTTGAGGTAATATCGCCAGAAACGAGGTAAGTCGCCCCATTCGATTTGTCAAGATTAGCTTCTATGCTTAGATTGTTAAGATTACTCGATAAGCTCGAGTTAAGATTGACTGCTATGCTCGGATTAATATTAGTCGCGATGTTTGAGCTAACATTAGTCGTGATGTTCGGATTAATATTAGTAATGATGTTCGGATTAACATTAGTAATGATGTTCGGATTAACATTAGTAATGATGTTCGGATTAACATTAGTCGCGGTGTTCTGATTAACAACAGCCGCTATGCCCGAGTTGCGATTTGCTGGTATGCCCGAATTAAGATTTCCCGCTATAGTCAAATTTTTAAGGTTGGCTGTTATGTTAGAACTGTTATGACCGACTGCTACATTTGGATCAATAAGGTTTGCCGACATGATCTTATTTCTAAGATTTGCCGCTATACTCGAGTTTATAGGATTAGGCATTAGCCTTCGATTACCATTAGGAAAAGATAAATTTTGACTTGGTGGTTGCGTATTTGAAGAATAAGGAGCACCACCGGTATATGCATAACCCTGTTGAGTGTAAAGGTTCTGTTGATTATAGTGTGCTTGTTGCTGTTGTTTTTGTTTTTGTCCATAAAAGTAGAAATATCGCGACGGATTAATTTGTGATAACAAATTAGGATTGTTATTAGATTCCAAATTATGAGTTTCCAGACTAGGTGCACCAAAATAAGTTTGCGGATTGACATTTTGGACGGGTTGAATGCTATTTGTTAGTGACGAGCCTAATTTTGGACCAATTGGTTCTGATTGTGATTTTGGCAAATCCAAGACAATTTCATTTTCTCCATTAACCTTTATCTTTTTGACTCGCGCCTTTGCAACATTCTGTTTATCATCCAAGCCCTCGTCTCCAACTTCATCGCTGCTCGAAGATGGCGTCGGGGTTTCAACAACTTCAACAGGAACAAAATCGGGGTCCAGGGTAATTTTCTTCTTTCCTCTTGGCTTTCTGGACGCGCTATGATCACCCTCATAATAATCCTATAGTATTGGCGAGAAATATAAATAAAAAACGAATACATTCATATGTACTGGATGTGTATTTACTTACAATCTTTTTTCGATTCCTTGCGCCCTTTCCCAACTGATTTTCTTCAATTTTTGACGCCGTGTCAACATGAGCAAGAAGTTTTACCCAGAAATCCTTTGTTTCAGAACCTTCAGCCCTATTTTCGATTCGCGTTTCATCCTCGACAATGGCTTGATTTTCGTTATCCCAAACTCTAGCAAAAGCAAATCCCGTCAAGCTATTTGCATCGGGTGCCTCTTTCTCAACCCGCATCTGACTTCTATCTAATAGCTTTTCTATGGCCTCTTCGGTATAAACCCCTACCGGTTTCTCATTTGAATTTTCGCTAAATAAAGCTTGAACACCACAACGAATGATATCATCTACTTCATCAATATCAAGAACCTCGTCGTCCATCTTCTCCACCACCAGTTCAGTTCTAGCCAATTTGAGTTTACCCTTTTCAACGATGCGTTCTAGAACAAAATTGGTTCAATTAGTTTTTTTTTTACATTCCAAATAGAAAGACGTTAGTTAAGTTATACCTTCAACAGAAAACTGCGTTACAAATCGAAAGACTTTTACGGGCTATCATAATAAAGAAGATAAGGTCAGGTCCAATTAATAGAATTTGGTTCAGTAAATGGAATGGATCTTCACCTTATTTTGACCAATTCTATGAATTCGACTCAACGCCTGGAGATCCTGATGAGGATTGAAATCCGGATCAAGAATAAAAACAGTATCCGCGGCCACTTTACAAAACGTATGTTAAATGCTGACAATAACGAGAAAGTAAAAGCGTTCAACGGAATTCAGTGCTTACTTAAATTCAAACCGACTCCACCAGCCCGGGTGGAAAGCAAAAATATAAATATTTTTGAGTCAGGTGCCTGAAAAGCAGAAATATTTTTTTGCCTCATTTCGTGTGATGTTGATCCGTCCTGATAGAGATCAAAATAAATTGGAAATCCCAAGTTTCTTTTAAAAAATGCACAAGAAAAATGAATATTGCTTACAAGCTTTGTATAGAGATAACTGTTATCTTCGCAAAATTCCTCCAGTATGGACAACATATCCAGAAACTGAGAAAATATAAGTACTTTATGCCCAGTTTCATATAATTTCTTCAGCATGTCCTTTAAAAGGATAAGTTTTCCACTTGATTCCACCAACATTTTCTGCCGTTCTTCATTACTCAAATTCTCTTGTTCACGATTGATCAAGTATGGATGAGAAACAATTTGACGCAAAGTCATCAAAATATTCGAAAAACCAGTCGATCTATTACGAGACTTTGCGACTTGTCGTAAAAATTCAGCATTTTTCTCGAAGGTCTCCTTGTATATTCTCTTTTGAATTGGCGACATGCTCACACGTACGATAACATCGTCCTTTAAAAGTGGTCACTATTAATGGTAATATAATCGCTTCAATAATAAATAACAAAATGAACATTTCTTTACCATAGGAGGAAGACCTAAGTCGACTTGGTTCTTGGTGCGTCTCAAAAAGTAACGTTTAAGTAATTTGTGCAGTGCAGGAAGTTGCTCTGCAGAGGGCAAACCTTGATACTCTTCGGCCAGCTTCTTGGGATCCGAGAATTCCTTATGCCCAAGGAAATTCAGCAAATTAAAAAGTTCGTCGATTTTGTTCATCAACGGAGTTCCTGGAAGATCGTCAAGTAAAATAAGTACATAGATCATACAAGGGCAAAAGTATCAATATGAAAGCTTTTTCTCGGAACATACCGGTGAGCAACACTTTGAAATAAACGTTTAACTTTTTGTTCAAGTTTCTGAACAGCTGTGTAGTTTCCCCGGCTTTCAAACTGTGTGCTTCGTCTACAATCAATACTTCCCACAAGGGAACCCTGGAAAATAAAGAAGAATAATTTGCAATCGCCTCAGCAGTTGTGACGACCACGTGACACTTCAAATTGTCATTATCGGGAAATAATTCGTAGTCGGCTATCAGTTGACAAGAGTCCCCTTCTCCATGGAATTCAACTACAACCAATTCATGAGCCCATCTTTTGAATTCTCTGACCCACCCAGCCGTTGTAGACTTAGGGGCAACTACGATGAACGGATGACGTCCCTTTTCCTTGTATAAATACATGATGAGGCATATAACTTGAACCGTTTTTCCTTTAAAATGAGATCGATGAGCATCAGGATTGCATCTACAAAGGGGGTCAACAGTCAAAGATATAATATTAAATACCTAGTCCCATATCATCAGCAAGTATACAAGAGGTACCGTTGCACCAGTTATGTCGAAGCCAGCTAAAAACAAATTAATTAGGACCGAAATGAAATAAGAAAAAAAAAAATATGTAATTATGCGTGGTTATTACTTAAAGCCATCCAACTGATACTCCTTTAGTTTATTTTCATATTTTGGGTTTGGGTTTGATTTGCTAAACGGTTCTCTTGTGCGTTTAGGGTTCTCAAGATATTTGGGCTGTTTTTTGATCTCTACGAATACAGTGTCTCTGATATCATCGTCCACCGGTTCAATATTATATGCATTGATACGAATTTGAAGTGCGTTTTTAAACTTTGTGTTCTCAAGGTCGGATATATCTTCCCAATTTGCTAATTATAATGACAAGATTTTAATTGGTTATTGATTCTTCAAGAAATGAATTCTAGTTTAACTTATGTATAAAGTAAATACAAACCATCACTATACTTTATTCCTTTCCACTTAATAAGTGCACTTTTTATTTTTGTTTTTCCACTAGATTTTTTACTCTTCTTTTTAGAGGTCATGCTATTTAGTAGATCCCTGAGTGTTTTACCATCTTCGTATTCAACATCCAGAACACGATCCACCTTGGTCCAATCACTATGTATCACAGTCTCGACGGGTAACGGTTCCGGTTCTGATTTAATGAAATTCCTAAATTTTGCGGGGGCAACTCCCATCAACCAAGGACCTGGCACCCATTCTACGTTACGATAAGATAAATCTTCGAATTTAACAAGAAACTCCACTTCGAAGTAAGCATTAAATTCGTCGAACAAAAGTAAATTGTCTATTTCCATTAAAGAATCGTCATTGTCCTTGCCTTTTGTCGATGTATATCGAAAAGTTAAGATTTTATCTATATTATATTCCCACTTGTGACAAAAGTGACACGTCCATTTTCTCCGGTAAAATTTCATTTTGTCTTCTATGGTTTTTTCATTGTTCAGTGGAGGTAAGCATTGTTGATGCATACCAAGATAACAACGAAAGCACCGAAACAATACTTTGTTGATGTTTACAATTGGCTGCGCGATAAGTCTTGACTTATATGAAATGACGTTTCCATTATTATCACCAGTCTTCGAACCTGTCTGTGATTTATTAGTAACGTGATTACTAGTGTTTTCTTGAGGTTCACTATTAGTATCATTCTTAAGGGCATCATGGGATTCATTACTGCCATTAATCTTCAAGTTTGCTTGGGATTCATTACTATCATCATTCTTCGTACTTGCTTGGGATTCATCCTTTGAGCTTACTTGAAATTCAATGATATCACCATTTTTTGAGTTCTCTTGCGATTCCACAGCATCATTATTTTTTGAGTTGGCCTGTGATTCGATATCATCAACGTTTCTTGAACCTGTCCTGGACTCATTGCCATCCTCATCTTTCGAGTACGTCTGTGATTCGTTATTTTCCGTAGGCAGAATATCCATGGCGTCTTGCGAAGACCTCAATTCTTGTGAATTAATATTTTGATCTTCCGATTTTTTATCAAAAG